GTGATGGTCGGCGGCTCAGAGACCCAGAAGTGGGTGAAGAGTGGGTGTTGAAAGAGTTGAAAACATGTTGAAACCATGAAAAAATGAGGTTTTCATAGGTTTTCATCATTAAAAACCATGGTGAAACACCATCCAAGAATCTAAAAATATGTCCAAGGATTGGGAGTTTAACATAGTTGAAGCATCCAACACTTATTGGTGCTTAGTAGGAAATGGATGGGAATGATCAATAACTATGTTCAATAATCATTGCGTTCCTCCATTACTAGACATCAGTGAGCAAAATGTCCAAGGTTTGGTGATTACTATCCAGTGGTGAACGGAGGGAGCGATTCGGAGCGATTGGGGTATCCATCCATATATTCCCCAATAAAAATGGGGAACCAGTTGGAACTACGCATTGAATTTCCTAGCTTTTGACCATCCAAAATTGGGATTTTGATCATCAACATCATCAACAAATTGGATTGTACAGTAAAAATCCAGAATCCTGTTTTGCAAAAACATTAAACATCGGGTTTTAATTGATAATATGATTGTTCGTCTTGGGAAATGGCGGTTTGACGTGGTTTTACAAAACATAGGATTAACAATGGATTAGCAGAGTTGAGGATGGGAGGATGGGTTTGCTCAGAGATTCCTCATGGACAGATCGTAGGGACCACCGTGATCAAGAAACCAGATATAGTAAGGTAATGTTTGGATCGGCCATAAAAAGGCATCACACGATGTTTTTATTTAGTAGTTGTAAAGTGTCATCACTTCAGTTTGGTTTCAACATTGATTTTTCAGATGATGAGACTGATTCATCATGTTTTCGATGGGTTGAAACTGTAGAAAACAGAAACTGGGTTGTCTGTTTTATCTACGATATTTCCGAGGTGTGTTCATTTTGTCCCATTCAGATTGCCTTCAATTGGAGAGAGAAACCGTGTTTGGAGATCTGTACGTCGCACACGTGCTGGATCCCACTGTCAGGTACGGCTGTTCTCTCGTTGGTACCTGGGCTGTTTGCGTGAGCCCTTTCGCTCCTGACAGTCGCCCTGAAAACCAGTGGCGGCAAAAAATCGCTGCTGGTTGAAGTGAGCGAAATGGCTCACGAGCACGTCCAAAACAGAGGTACGAAGGCCGCGAAAGGGTTTTAAACTCTTAAATCTGTTAGGATTAAGGATAAACAAATCATGGTGTTGCTATGCAGTGATGAATTATCAACATTTATCATCCAATCATCACTTTGATATACTTTGATGGGCCGCAATCCCTTTTTTTTTGCGTCATAGCCAGCCGTGAGTCGGTGGCACCCGGCTGGCAATCATCCAACCGACTCACAGTGGCTCAAGTGCCCGGGCCTCTACCCATGAGGGCACTGGGCAAATAGACTTTAGTATCTTTAGTTATATAAGCCCTCCCCGTTTTAGCAAAATCTCACGGCTAAGAAGCTAGAGGCAAGGGGTTGGCACCAACTTGTTTAAGGAAACACTTGGAGAACGGTCTCAGACCTTCTGAGTGATGAAATGCGATGAAATGCGTTAGATTTTCCAAGCCACACTCCCATTCATAGCCGTTCAGATCTTTTGCTTTGCTCCCTGCTTCCAATTTCACATCCGGAGCCGTCCTTGTGACTCACTCACTTGGGCACAGCATGTCGTCGATGGTGATGCCAGTGTTGCTGTCGCTGTGTTTTGCTCTTGCATTCCTGATTTTCTCGTACATGCCCGTTACCTGGATCCTGGGGCTGGTCGGAGTAAAAGTGCTGTTGAAAGTCCTGCCGTGAAAATGACGTTTCATGAACACTGAAACCAAGATCACATGCTCAAATTCCTATGTTGATGTGGCTGTGAGGACGTGATATTGGACTTGGTCAAATCCCATTCATCCTCATTTTAAAGTTGGCCAGCCGATGGTATCCACATTCCCGGGAGCCACTCAGAGATACTAAGAGTTCACTAACCGCATGGATGTATCATACAATGACGTATCCTAATGTTCAAAAGACTATGGTCTCCTATATAAACTGTATCACCACTTTTTCCTGTATGCTTCTTGCGAGCAAGTCAT